GAATACTTAAATTGAAGCAAAATAATAAAAGCATTGCGATACGGTACTAAGCCCATGTTATGCTTTGCACAAGTAATAGTAGATGACCTGATCTAATATTCATGAACTCAAGGTAAATTACAACTGCATAAATTCTGCTAAAAAACATGCAATTTGGTTATTTATCTATTCCAACGCAACAGGAGTGAGCCTTCACTGATCCTAAAAACTGTTTCGCCCTTAAAACTATGGCCCTATGGAACTGTTTACGAGAGACCCAACTAACAGCAAATTATCAAAAGGATGCTGGATGTCCATTTTAGTCTCACAACCACTTCCAGTACTTATTGAGTTGCTTCTTTTACCCTTTCGTTTGAAAAAAACAACAAAAACTGCGGATTAACATTACCAATGCAACTTTTAAACGGGAACTTGGTTTAAACCTTTGTTTGATATTCGATTCTTGATGAAAGTTCTTGAATAAATTTTCAAATCTAATGCTACTTTGTTTTATCTACTTAATCGTTGCAAGAAACTTGTGATACACGAGCTTCTCAGCACCTAGTTCATGTGTAGTAAATTTAAGTGATTTGGTACATATCTTCGTCATTTTCTTGGGAAACCTACAGACTCGGGTCCTCTCACAACTTATTCTAGCCACCATGAGTTGTCACGGCAGCTGATGGATGGACACGCGTTACACATCCTAACCGTCCCTGCGTCTAATCTCATAGCTTCTTATTCAAATGCCATATGATAAGCTAGTAATAGTAATAATAAAATACCTACACTAATGGAACACTATTAACTCAAAGGCACCCTGTATGGTACCTTACATTGGTCTACGCACTCGCTTAGCTCTTTAGTGAGAATATTACTACAATCCTGCTAAAAATCACATGAACCCCCCTATCTCCATCAAAACAAATAAGTCTGTATTTGCTGCATATAGGGATTTTATTTTTCAGAAGATATAACAGAATTGGAGCAAAATGGCAGTATACAGCAGATGCACGTGGTACATGTCTTCATCGATTAACTGAAATAGAGAATACGGATATTAGCTTAACAGGCTTATTTAGAAAGACTAGTGTCTACTTTGAACTTACTGCGTGAAAAAGTTATGCTGGAACTACGAATAATGTAGGAATCTAGTCCCCCAGCGCGTACGAAGCGCTCAAACTGGAAGACGGTTGTCCAAAAATAATTCGAATATGAAGGTGAGAATTTGCAGATACTTTTCATCGTAAAGGTGAACATATTAGGTACCGGTTGACATTATACCGTAAAAAGACACAAATTTGTGAGTGGTGAAGTATGATCTATAAAAAAGTGGGCTTGACAGTTAATTACCTTTTTACTCCCTGATCATGACCCTTCGGCTTCATTTTATGGCCAAAACAGCAAACATACACTACACACTGATAGCAGATTTCCGCCTCTTCAATGTTAAACTTGCTTTAACGCACTACGTAATGAGTACAACCCCTTTATTACTGCTGCATGGCATATTTTATATAACAAACCCTTTGCAATAGATTGGTAGCATCTGTGACTTCATCTATGGTTGTCGGAAGTCTGATTCCTACTGCTGGGCACTCAGTATTAGTTTGACTCGTTGATGGGATACTGTTGTTCATAATAGTGAAGAAAATTAAAAACCGGAGATTGTTTCCTTTCATTTTGCCGATAACATCATAAAGGACAGTTAGAAACCAACATGCGGACAGTTAGTCACAGGCGGCAGCAACAGTTATTTTAGCTGAAAAAACGAACTTCGGCTTTGGATATCTAGAAAACAAGTCAAAACAGAGACACATCCATCGTAAAAATACCTGGGGTGGAGTTTATCTCAATTATAACAACTTCTGTCCTATGAGTTATAAAAAGGGTGTTGTACGAAACCTTTTTGACTGCGCACGCAAAATCTGCTCAAAGGAGTGCCTTGAAGAAGAAATTGCCTACGTGAAAATGGATATCCGGAGAAATTCATCCACAAATATGCTAATACCAACCCTCCGATTAAGCATGTTACAGTGGAAAAGAAAACCTGTTTCCTATACTTGCGCTTCAAAGGAGATGAAGTCACCGGAATTATCAATCACGGAATAAATTCCGCTTTGAAAGTAGCCTACACGGCAGCCAAACTGACGACGTTATGGGAAACGAACTGCTCACTGAAACAAACTAAAATCGACAAGTCCTCTTTCCTCAGTAGCTCCAACTGCGCTTATCAATTCACATGTACGTGCCATAGCACATACATTGGAAGAACTGAGAGAAGAGTACATATTCGCATTTCTGAGCATGTTCCGAAGAACTTGAGGCTGCGAGGGACTAAGGCTTTCAACACTGCAATAGCTCGGCATCTACTTGACACTGGGCATACCGTCGACATTCTGCATGCTTTTAAAATTATCAATAGACAAAGAAGTACGACCACTCTCCGTTTTGCTGAAGCCATTGCGATCAAAAAACTTAAATCGGACTTATGCATTCAAAGATACTTTAATAAACTTATCATTACCCTGGTAATCCTTTTTTTGTGTTTTGGCTATTTGGGTTATTTTATTCATTTATTTGTTTTAAAATATTTATACTCCTGCTCTATTACCTAATTCTTAAACCAAAATTTTATTCACATATTTCCACCACCTGGTGGAAATCGCTAAAATTATCACACAATTTATGAACTTCACTAAACTATTACACCACCCACCCTAAATTAATTCCCTTTTTTAACCTCTGACCTGTTCTAGCATATATATATATATATATATATATATATATATATATATATATATATATATATATATATATAGTTATTATTGTAATCCGGTTATTTACACTCATTTATGTCAATTGTTTCACACTATCTCAATGTAAAAATTCTATCACATTTTTGGTTGTAAGCAGCTGACGAGAAACCTCGAGATATTATGAATTCATACTATTCTGCATCAATGTTTGTTCTTGCTCTGTTCAAAACAAAACCGATTACCATTTTAAAACATAAGACTAGCCAGCTCGACTGAAGAAATACATTGACTTTAGTAGCAGCAGCAAAAAACCAGAAAACAAAGCAAAATCAGGAAAAATTTTGCTCCAACATTTAGAGTATTACATTAACTTCTGCATTTTAGCACACTGAAACACTAAATTCTGTTGCTACACAAAACAAATAACGGAAAAAGCACAGAACGAAGAAATCTGGCCACCATTGCATACCAAGATGGCGGACATAATAATTGTCGCTAAGCCGACTGTCACGTTTACGAAATTGAGTTGCGTTTAATAGCAGGCCGTATATTTGTCTACAAATTTCCACCAATACATGATGTAAGGAGGAAAAATCGACACTTCCTCTTTATTTACGCCTTTGTTCGCTTTATTCCCCTTTTATTGGTTGCTTGGGTAGTACACGAATAACCGGTTGTGTTGTTTCACGCAAACAAGCAATTATGCTTAAGAATACTAAAATAACTTCATTTCAGTCGGATAATGTGATATTAGTACATGGAAAACCTGGTCTAGTCAATTATTTAGTTACTGTTCCTATTGCTACTTACAGTTATGTGAATGTCTTTTGTTTAATTTGTGCTGAGGTATGACCATTAACCATTTCCTTACCTCTTTAGAGGTAACAATACGTCATAGTAGACACCAAGAAAGAAACAGCTTATGATTGTGCTTAAATGTCAGGATTCACAAGATTTTTGTGGTTCTCAATAGTCGTACAGGCGTTACGAAAATGCATAACCAGTGGAATATTTTTCATGTTTGACTTCGTTTTTACTAAACATTAATAATACATAACCTGTCCTTTCTTTTGTAGATCTTTTCAAATTACAATATGACTTGGCAATTACAATGCATAACGATCGGTGCCCTGGCATCTGTCAACTACTTATACAATATAACGTTTTTTTCTTTTCAATAAATTTCTTTGAACACGTACCACTTTTAACGTCGATTGCACTTGTCGTGTGGTGTGTTATATAAATAATGGCGAGCACAGACGTTTGGGGTTAGACCAAATGTGTGTCAAAAGTTGAAGCAAAATTAGATAAATCGGTGTGTATTAAAGCGAAAAGTAGACAGTTCGGCGTGTATTTATGTGAGTAGACTATTTACCATGTATTTAGGCGAAAAGTAGACAATTCAGCGACTTTGAAAACAGAGCGACATGAAGGGGAGAATCCTTTATTTCGCCTTTTTTGGTCGCTTTGGCATTACGAACTAACCCAAGCTATTATACCGAAATGCTATTTAGTCGTAGGGATAAATGGATTTCGCGCCGAAATCCAAGACTTGCTATCACTAATGCCTAAATAATAAACAATGTCATTCATCTGAATGGGTAGCAATAGTAAAGAGACTAAATAGCTAACATATTTTCCCACGACATATGGAATTTCCTGGTAAATGTTTATGTGAATTTATGCCAATCGTAATATTGTTACTAGTTAGTAATATCATATTGTTTCCTTCTGGTCATTGTCATCCGTACTAGGAATGTGTGTTAAACTTTATTTTCAAATATCGTGTTTATCGATAACTATCTGAGTCATCTCTACGTTTACCTTCACATGTACATTCATCCTTAGTATTAACGAATTTTCCTTACTTAGAACACTTCATCATTTCTACATGATTAGTTAATGATGTACTGATTACTTCAATGCCAACAGTTGTGTGGGTTCTTAATATTTTAGTATAACTTGTCAATCAAACATTTATTTTATGCATTCTATGCAGTTTTCCTACCGAACATTATTTATAGTGTAAAATGAATAAATCTACCAGATTAATTACCTAATAGGACCTGGATCGATAATAAACACTTAAAGCAAGTTAGATATCAGTAATCTTCAGAACGGCATTTGTCATTTGAAGGATGATAGCGTTTAGATGTGTATTGTTATTCCTTACCTTGGACTATTCCCCATAAGGAAAGTAGCTTTAAATCTCTATTGTTTTGCTAGCTCCGTGCTACAGTTTTTTATGACATTTATTTGTAGATGTCCGTTTCAAAAGGCGAACATAGTCCGTTCTCCCCTCAATGGGTCAACCGGAAATTATATACGCTCATGTTAGTCATATATACACCCAGAGAATTGAACACAGATTCTCCATTGGTCATTGACGATTCGGGATCTGAAGTAAGCGATCCAGATGTTTTACGATTCTACTCTTGTCTTTACTTTTACTTTTGTTGATCTGCTTTTCAACATGTTTCGCTTTATGATTTGAATTGGCTCAAATTTTACTCCCTGTATGGTAAAATGTACAAGTTCGTTCATTCCACTTATATGGTTGGAGTTATCCTCGGTGTACTGTCATTAGCTGTGCGTGGACCCCTAAGTATACAATTCTTGTCGTATTAATCAAAATTAAGAACATCCCGTACATTCCTGCACATTTAAAACATTTTAGCCTTATCGTTCAGATACAATATTTCTTTGCTTTATTCGCCTTTCCTTCAATTTTTGTTTAGAAATACAATTAGTTCATCGCTCCTAATTTTCGCTTTGAATATGTCTTTTGGAGAGTTGCTTGTTGTATTTAAGTCTCGCTTGGAAGACGATTATTATTTAAATGTTTGTCTGGCAAGTCGATAGGCCGTACCCTATGGATCGTCCTAATGATAATCATTGCTAAATGTGTCCTAATAAAATTTGAGTACTACTACGCATTGCAAATGGTATATTTTGAAGCTGTTTATGATTCTTGTTTTCGTTGAAAAGTGATTTCGTAGTCAGTGGGATAAAACTACAGTTGTCTCACAGATTAATCAATTCTCACCTCCAAATACATGTTTACGTATGGCCTGATTAATGATTGACAGTGATCATGTCTGAACATTTGTGAGCACTTTGTTTCTAAAGTTTAAACTGATTAGCAAATGTACTAAACAAATTATCCGTTCTGTTAATTTTTATTTAACGGCCGACGATGGTCATCTACGAGAAATAAACTGGGTATTGAGAACTCAGGTATTATTTATCATTTTAATCTATCTTATTGCCAGCTTCTTGAAGTACAGTTTTTGCGTAACATAAATTATATATTTCTCTACAAGTAGACAAAATATATATAGACAAGGCCTATCGATGTAATTCATCTTCATGCTGCCAAATCAATGTTTTGATGACTTTGATTGCATTTTGTTATTGTTCACATATCTGACTGTTTCACTTGACAGTTTAATTAAATTTGCATTATAATTGACTAACCATTACATTTCTGGTTGAGAGGTTAACTCTCCATCAACGTACTTTTTTGTAATGGATGAATCTGAATTTTTGTAATTTTACAACATCGTTATTGTTATGACTTTAAGTCCAGCTTTCGTCACGTGATTTATCCACCAATCAAAACACGACTTATACAATCTTCGCATTGTGTCAAACCAATGACGCTCGATCGGTATGAGCAGTCTTATTAGTCCTTATTAGTCCTATGTCCGTCTAGCCCGTCCACTTGAGTCCGGAACACAATACCAGCTTCTGCAATATGAATCATTTATTTCAGACATACTCGGTTTATATATCAACCAGACAGACCACAACGTACCATAAAATAGAAAATAACGTTTGTACAATATTTGGCCATGTGTGGCTGTGAACGTGGGAGGCAATAGTCAATAAACTGAACATAGCTTAAGAACCGTAATTCGTACAATAATAAATTATAGGTCAAAATAAAGCTTATAATAAGAGGAATATAAATATACATAATCTAATTATTGAATAGTTACACCATAAGAATATGTAGATAATATTAGTCGATTAATATGTCTCAGGAGTTACTCGTGATTTAATATTCGCTCGGATATAACAAGGTTCTAATCCTGTACTCACCCTGGATGGTGAGCAGATAGAAGTAGTCGAGAAGTTCGTGTATCTAGGTAGCTACATAAGTGCTGGTATTGGCATGAGTGATGAGATCAATGCACGTATAGTTAAAGGTAGAGCGGTTTATGTCGATCTAGGCCATCTTTGGTGTTTTCTTGATGTCAGTATGGCTGTGAAAGGTCGGATCTACAACGCGTCGGTGAGAGCAGTTCTGCTCTATGCTTGTGAAACCTGGCCTCTCCGAGTTGAGGACGTTAGACGACTCTCTGTGTTCGATCATCATGTCTCCGAAGGATTGCTGACATCAGTGGCAACACCATGTTATTAATGCAGAGGTTTGGCATCGTGTTTTCGGGCACAGAGACGATGGTGTCACCATCTTGAAACACCGACTTCGGTGGCTTGGACATGTTCTACGAATGTCGTCCCAGAGAATTCCACGTCGTGCATTATTTGCCGACTCTGGGACTGGTTGGAAGAAGCGGAGAGGTGGTCAGTGTATGACATGGTGTTGTGGTATAAAAGAAAGCTGCAGAGGGCTGGTTTCTGTTGGTCCTCCGGGGTTGGAGTTCTAGAGGTGGTGCAACACAGTGGCTTGAGGTGATATCAGACATGGCTCCGAATAGAAACCAGTGGCGATCCTGCTGTAACCTTCTTTTACTTTCTTCATGAAAAGTGGTTGTATATTCCTTAACTGAAAGATTTCTTCTGCTTGTACCTTTCCATTCCTCCCATTATTATTATTATTACTACACTACCTTACACTAATCTGGTCGTTATTGTTCTTTTTTCTTCTTTTACGCTCTTTACCTCTTTTTTTCTTCTCCCGCCCCATTTTCATTATTTTGTGTGGCGCATATATATTTGGTGCCCTCTTGTACCAATATTTATGTGTTCAAGTAAATAAAATAAATATATTGCGTTGCTAAACTTTAAAACGATGTTCTTGGATGGGTAAAGAGAGGGAATTTTCGATGTTTTCAACAATGTTTCTCGCAGTATATGCATTTCTTTTTCAGTGGGTGTGAAATTTACCTTCCTTCGATGTTGCATCCTCTTATCAGCATTAAACAAACTACTATTGGTTAAATATTTGATACTATGTACATATAACACGGCACAGATGGAAAAGCTCCTAAATGCTCTCTACGGTCGATAGTAGAGAGAGTCAGCTCTTCCTCTCGAAATGCTCTCACATGGCCACGTGCATACAACCACTGCCAGGGAAGTTCTTCTCACTTCCGTTCCGCGGCACGGGTGCTGTTTACGAAACTGAGAGGACGAACAGTGAGTTTCCGAAGCTTTAACCGGGTTGGCAGATGTGGAGGATCCACCTAGGTCAGTTGGAAAACCCTAATTCCAAACTAGTGATGCACATGAGCTTCAGGATCCTGTGGGGACAAATGGGGTATTAACTAATTGTTGGTCACCGGCTACCGTGGGTCTGCATCTCCTGATGTTGCTCCACTGTCTTGCGGATCAAACTTTTAGGTTCGATTCTCCGAGTGTGGCCCCCTAAGAAAACCACCTGTTTCGGTCTGGGCACCCAAGTAGTATCACAGCCTACACAAAAATCAAGTGGCCTGTGTGACGTATATGTATTCGGTGCCACTTTGTACCAATATTTGTGTTTAAATAAATAAATAAATATAATAACAGATGGTAAAAGAATATTCTTATCGGTTTCTACAATTATTGATATGAATCACTGATTGCAATAACAACCAGGTGCGCAACTAGCATATTATTGTGCATGGGGGGGGGTACATTTTAGCATTTTATTTTACGAGTTAATTGATATTCTCATAACCTACTGTGTAGTAATGCGAATGGACTATAACCTGCATAACACTCAAGTCATCTTAATATTAATAATCCTTGTTGTGCTTAAAAATAACACAATGTTTATCTATGAAGTGTATATAAACCGGTTAATGTCGTGGAATGTATCACACTAGCCTCTATTTAAATCAACTTGTAATTATTCTAAGTGAATGTCGGTCATGCACACTGTACATTATTCATTATTCCGTCCATCCAGTGTTAATATAAATCATATGATCTCACATAAGTTGAGCGAAAAAGTATTTACCCTCAATCAGTTCCTCGTTGGTTCTGGAACAATTTATGTTTTACAATTTAGAATGAAATCAATGCCAAACAAATTATGGTGGACCAACCTGATTATGTATTGCAATATTTTCTTTAAATATGACGATCGATTTGTAAGTTAACGGATATAAAATAAAAAAAACAAAGCAAAATTACATAGTCTAGTTAAGTAAGAATAAAAATGTCAATTGAGCAAGTTTAAAACTGAGCAATGGATCTCTATCAAAACCCGTAGACAAGATTCAGAAAAGGAACAACAAGAGGATGGCTTTTAATAACAGCGAAAGTCACAGTACAGGCTGAATAAACAAAAGCAAACAAGCAAATGAAGAAGAGCATTAAAGCCGACAAGCAGAAATACGCGGAAGACCTGGCAATGACAGCGGAAAACGTTGCAAGAGAAGGAAACATAGAACAGATATATGACACAACAAAGAAACTGGCAGGGTATTATAGTAAACCAGAGACCGCCCAAGGAGAAAGAAGATAAGCCAATCGCTGAGATACATGAACAGATGAAAAGATGGGCAGAAAACTTTGAGAAACTCATGAATGGCCAGCTCCATTAAATCCACCGGACATCGATATATATATATACATATATATACTACCTACTCACTTCTTTTTAGTAGTAAATCAGTGAATAGAAAAATTGTGGGGTTTATTTTCTACGAACCCGTTTTAGAACATATCTTAAGAAATTACGAATTGTAGTTCACCGTGAGTTGTTATTATCATGTCATCTTACTTATTTGCTTACGCCTGTCGCCCCTCATGGAGGAGCATAGACCGCTCACCATCACTCTCCATCCAACTCTGTCGTGGGCAATACTGTCCATTCTTTTAATGTCTGCCTCCAGTTCGTGTCTCAATATGTTATTTGGTCTTTCTCTTTATCGTTTCACTTCAGGATTCCAAGTTAGCGCTTGCCACATGATATAATTTGGTTATTCCCACAACATATGTCCTATCCACTTCCAGCTTCTTTTCTTAATTGTGTTAGGATAAGATGGTGGTTGGTGGTGGTCACCAGGAAACTCTGGATCTGGGTTTCTTACTATTTGGCACTCGTCAGCAAGGTATACCTGTAATCTTGAGGGAACTGGTGCTACCTGACGAATTCCATCCCGTGTGATCCAGCTTCACATTCAAAGACGTTACTACTGGGCTGCGACTGACCTCCTGTAGGACTGAGATGTATTCGCAATTGATTGATCACTGGGTGTTGATCAATGTCATTTGTACCAGGTCCTTCTTAGTGCAGATCGAATACTATCGACAAAGTTGCGATGTGGCCACTAGTCTAGGTGACTCTACATTGCGTGCATTGTGTTAAGATAAGATGGCGTCTATCATGTAAATGTGTTATGAATAGTATAACATAACAAATTTTCGAATGTGTAATAAACATTTAGATAATTTGTCTCATTGTTTCTCCATGACAGTCTTATGTTTCTACTTGTTCAGTTATTGTTTTCTTGACGTTTGTAAGTGATTGGAATATTTGTGAAGTATTAGGAGTCTCCTGAAAATTGTTGTTTATTAAAGTTGTATAAATGTTAACCAAGTTACTTTTTAAACTTAATTAAATCTAATGTGTGAACTTGACCTTCAGAGAGTACTATTACCAGTGTTGTATTCACCTTCTTACTTACCTACTTACTTTCACCTGTTAACCCTCATGGAGGAGTATAGTCCGCCCACCATTATTCTCCATCCAACTCTGTTGTGAGCAACACTTTCTAGATGTTTCCAGTTGCTATCCATTCTCTTCATGTCTGCCTCCAGTTGGTGTCTCAACGTGTTCTTTGGTCTTTCTCTTTTCCGTTTCCCTTCGGAATTCCAAGTTAGAGATTGCCTCATGATGTAGTTTGGTTATTTCCTCAATATACGTCTTATCCACTTGCAGCGTCTTTTCTTAATTTCCTCTTGATCTGGAAGCTGGTTTGTTCTCTCCCACTGTAGGCTGTTGCTGTCCGCCCGACGGACATTGAGTATCTTACGTAGACAACCATTTATAAATACTTGTACCTTCTTGATGATGGTTGTGGTAGTTCTTCAAGTTTCAGCTCCGTATAGTAGAACTATGTTGACGTTCGCATTGGAGATTCTGACTTGGTTTGAGTTTGTTTTGAGTTGCATATGTTCTTCAATTGTAGGAGTTCTGCCCTTGCTTTGCCAATCCTCGCCTTCAGGTCTGCATTCGACCCTACTTGTTCATCGATGAAGCTGCTCATGTATGTGAAAGTTTTCACATCTTCCAGAGCTTTTCGATCAAGTGTGATTGGATTAGTGATCTCTGCTGTATTTGAGGATCTTGTTTTTTCCATTGTGAATGTTGAGGCGTACTGATGCAGAGGCTGCTACTACACTGGTTGTTTTGACCTGCATTTGTTATTGTCTATGGGATATAAGGACTAGGTCATCTACGAAGTCCGAACCGTCTAGTTGCATCCAAGCTGTACATTGTATTCCGTGCTTCCCTCAGATTTGGAGGTCTTCATAATCCAGTCAACCACCAGAAGAAAAAGAAAAGGGTAGAGTAGGTAACCTTGTCTGACTCCAGTCCTTACTTGAAATGCGTCTGTTAGTTGTCCTCCGTGCACCGCTTTGCAATGTAGTCCGTCGTATGAATTCCGTATGTTTTTGACGATTTTCTCAGGTACACTATGGTGTCAAAAATGTTTTTCCTATCCACGCTGTCAAATGCTTTCTCAATTTCAAGGAAGTTGATGTATAGTGATAAGTTCCATTCAATTGATTGTTCAGTGATGATGCGTACTGTCGCGATTTGTTCTGTACACGACCGATCCTTATAGAATCCGACCTGTTGATCTGGAAGCTGGGCGCCTACTGAATCTTTCATCCGGTTCAACAACACGAACATTTTCCTGGTATTGATAGTAGTGTGATGCCTCTATAGTTTTCACACTTGCTCAGATCTCCTTTCTTTGGTATCTTAATGAGATATCCTTCTCTTCTGTCTGTCGGCACTTGTTCTTCCTCCCAAATCTTCCTGAATGGAATATGGAGCACGTTTGAAATTACTTTTATTTTTGATTTCAGTGCTCAGATGTCATGTTATCAGATCCTGCTGCCTTCCCACTCTTGAATTGTCTGATGGCCATGCTTATTTTTTCGATCGTTGGTGGAGTGACAGCTATAGGAAGGTCTGTAGGTGTTGCTTCGATGTCCGGTGGATTTAATGGAGCTGGCTATTCACGAGTTCCTCAAAGTGCTCTACTCACCCGTTTACTTTGGTACATCTGCTTAAAATATCCACTTATATAAACTATTGACTTGATGAGTGACGTCGTCATCCTTGAGTTCGTTGGGGTATTAAAATGTTAAAATTCGTTAGTGAATATCAGAAAAAATAAGGATTGTTTAAATAAGTGAATTCCAGGCACTTGATTAGTATAAAGGTAGGTTTATATTAAGAACTGAAAGCAGTGATTGCGTTTTTTCCTTGTAGTTCGATATTACATGATATACGCAATCCTATCTATTTATCAATTAATAACGCGATACTTAGGTTCTACGGCGAGCCTGGTATTAACAAGTCGGAAGTTAATCATGTAAATTTTCACTTTGTTTCAATCTCTGGTTTAGCATACCCATCATCCTACAATGTTGATGGATATCCATCCCGAAACCTCCGGACCGGTTGAGTTTGAAATTAATACTTCTCCCTGAAACTTTGCAGTATTTATTTCGAAACAAACCATAAGTAATCTCAGCATTATTAGTTTAACCAAGTTACTTAATAGTTCGTTGATATTCCCTTATACTTTCTAGCTTTATTTTGAATAATACTTATTTTTTGTTATTTCATGTTTTATTCTGCTTACTGTGTTTTATCTATCTGATGATGTGTATAAGAACAACTATAACATGTATACCAATAATAATAAAAATGAAGCTGACATATAAAGGCAGTTAATCTATTTTTTCCAATTATTTACTAATCGGTTATTTCAGTTATCCGACTTAAAAATACTTTTTTACTGATTGGGAAAAGAAACTGTCATTTTCATCGAAATTTCATGTTAGATTCTCTTGTTTTTGTGCATATATGTTTCAAATACAGAATGTTATTTTCCTTTTTCTGATGAATTTCACGTATAAACAGGCGAAAAACTGTCTGAAGTTGTTATTTTTTTCTGGGTTATTCTGCTCTCCTCAATGCATTTATTACTTTCATTTCGGATAATGTTATGGTATTTGATGCAGAATATTTTTTCGACCATTCTGTACCAACTTAAATGAAATAATAAATATGAAGGAAATATTTTGATAGATATGTCACATTTGTGAATAATTGAATTAGTTCACAGACTCCACATCAATGAAATACCAAACTACTTTATTTTGTCTCCTCTTTAAACCTTTTTTAAAATCTTTGATGCATTTAATTCCTAGCTGAAAAGAACCTTTCTTCAAACTGTCAAGTAAATTACTACTCAATTGTTATCATTCTCCTTTATGAATAATAAATGTCCCACAACGCCTTTTTTTACTCTGGTTTTAACAATATATATTGAATTATATAGTATTGGTTTTGCGTTGTCAGATTTGATTGGGCTATCATCATAGGTAAGCCTAGATCAGAAGTTGTTAAACTACTGTCTGCGGACCGCTTGTGACCTCCAAGACCAATTAGAAGCTTATGTGAAAGCAGCCGGATGTGAGATAATTTGATATTATTCTAGTTAAACATTGGGCTTGGTATTAAAACCGTTGGGGTGTGTTTCATCGTATGCATGGGATGGCGGTTTACGTTAATTCTCACTCGTTAAGTATTATTCTTTCTAGTAATTGTTTTGTGACGATTTGAAGGTTTCAAAGCATTTGGACAACAGTCTAATGTGATAAATGCTGCAGTTTTTTTGTAACTAGGGGGCGCTAATCATTATCTTCAAATGGAATTGATAAAGTTGAGAGCAAGCAGAGACCTCAACTGATTCTTCAAACAAATAACATTGACTGAATTCTATTCATCTTGTAAGCAAGATAAGTTTCGCAACTTAAATAATTGTACATGTAGTGTTCGCTTTATGGACCAAATTACACTTGCAAATAGGCGTTTTGGTTTATGAACTGAGATAAGTGAACTCTTGGACACAAGTCGACAGTCAGTGTTAGGCACGACAAAAAACAAAGTGCTTATTGACTACAACTCGTTAGTGGAAAACTGTACACTTACATATTTATCTCATTGGTTAGGTGACATCATTAAGACTGATGATTGGGTAATTAATTGTTATTTTGCTTTCTAATTGGTGAATGCCGGTTTCTTAAAAATATTTTCGCATGTTGTATGTGCAACGAATTCGATATGGTATCTGCATTCCTGTAGCCGTTTGACAAGAAAGGTTTTACACCCTTTTTTCTAACCACAAAATTTATGGGAGAGTATGAAATAAATACTAACTTCAGTTTAAGAAAGAAGTAAGTTCTAAACTGTTAAAAGTAGTCTATGTGAAACAAATTATTGGCACTTGTAATTGAATAAATAATTACTAACTAAATGGAGTTACTTCTTGGTCATAATGCATTTGTGTCATTGCAACCGATCCTGAGTCGTGTCATCCAATGTCTTTAAATAATCATATGGACTTCAGTCAGATAGTCTTCACCTACCACTATGGCTCTGAACAACAGTCAGTAACTTTATGGACTGATACCATATCTTGCTTTCGAACTTAAAGATCTTTCTCTGTATAAATTGACAACAGTTTGTTGATTAATGCTTAGTAGTTTGAAACGAAACAATAAGATAGGAGCTTGATAAAGTTTTTCAAAAAATGTAAACAACGATTTATTTTCATTTTAAAAATTGTCCTTCTAGATTAAAGTACAGGAATCGATCACAGATTGCAATAAATCATGGTTACTTTTGGGTTTAAAACAGAGTGGTTTCGGAAAAGGACGATGGAACGGATTTGGTGGTAAAGTCGAATTAAGTGATGCGAACCCAAAAGCTGCTGCACTTCGAGAACTGAATGAGGAGTCTGGTTTAACACTTGATGAGTCTTCCGTTGACGAAGTTGGTCGTCTATGGTTTACTTTCGCTGAGACACTGGAGGTATGTATGTTTGAAATATTCCCGTAAATTACATGATTTATTCGTTTATTGATTGAATTAAGCATCATGCATTTTCATTTTTTGATCGAATTGAGTAGGAAATAGTAACTTCACTGTTGATGATATTGGATGAGGTTTGAATTACGTTAAAAATCGACTAGCGTGCGAAACGTAAACCACTAAACCCCAGCTCAATTGTTTAAAGTCACTGTATTAGCTGTAAAACTTGAAGGTTCTTCGTCCAATGTCATATAGGCTTCTGGAGACGTATTACTGAGTCGTCTTACATAACGATGGGAAAATTAACGTCAGTTTGATAAGCATTAACTAGTTTATTCTGATGTCTAAACAACGGTTGACACCATTGCTTTATTGTTTAGACAGAAATATACTTACTAAATTAATAAACATTAGCAAGAATATCAAGGTATTTAATTAAATCACATTTATTACTGAGGATAATATTCGCAGATAGCTTTTGCTCATATCTTATCGATAGTAAATACATTTATCTGCTAAATTTGAATCGGTATATCATACTATATGGGTTTACGATACAAATATCCTCAAATCAACGTAATATAATTCTTGCACGGTTTGGTAGAAATAAAAGATAAAGATTATACAGTAATCACGAATGAGGAGTATTCATGATAGGAGATTACTTATATCACCATAAATTACAAACAACACAGTATTTGTGAAATGTCAGTTAGTGACAAAAACAAAGTGCAAAAATCTATCCATCTGGCGTTGTATTTTATGCGTAAAGGACCAATACATTTTCGATTTTATTAATAGTTTATCAAGCCTTTGACTTTAACATTCTTAAACGTTGAAAGAACGGTACAACAGATCTAACATAATACCTTCGAAAACTTGAATATCACACATATATTCGTAATATCGGATTTCGTCCACATTAACTGAAAATATCAGCCAAAGTGACAGATCGTCAACTAGGAGTTTCGTGGTGTATTAAGATAAAATTAATTAGGGATAATCTAAATTAGAGGTTTATAAAAGACCTAGGCGGATCTAAATTATTGTTTACGTTGAAGTCGGCCTTAGTAACGGATTGGAATCAAGTCGGGAACCACTAGAAACCAGAGAACATTGAACATCTGTTTTGTCTTATTACAAGGACGTCACTGCTGTTTTCAACAAAAGTCCTGTTCTTAAATTTGGTGAAAAATCGTCGCGGTTACTCAATTAAACCAACAGTATATTTAACGAACCTACAGATAACTTCTTTTTACACCACCTTCTGCGACTAATGCAGAACTTTCAGGATAGAGTGTGAATACCTTTAGATCAAAGACCTAATATTCGAGAACTTCTGGAATAGTCTACCCGACAAGGTAACTTAACAACTTAAGTACTGAAAGTTTGTGATTACTCACGATTGTTCCTTGAGGTCAGTTTCTTCACTAGCATTTTGTAAGATTTCTGCAGTATGTTTCATAAATTTTTTCTAAAGTAGTTATAAATTCATGCCTCAGATAAATTGATCTAACACAAATTTCTCAAACTGTTTGGAAATGATTCATGGGAGTTGCATCTGATAATTCTTAAAAACTTCGGGTAAATGGTGAAGACTCTTCATCAACATTTTATTTAAGATGATGAATTTCCTTTCTTAACCAGCTGGGTGTTTCGAATATCTGAATAGCGCTCTTATACAAGCAAAACGGCTGTTTACATATTTGCTCGAAAGAATTCCAATGTATGATTGTCCTCCTCTAGAAAAAAGAGAGTCCAGCACGGAAGTATGTCGTTGGTTTGCAAAGTTCATTAGGTGCTGCATGATTATGGTTAACATAAAGAGAATGGTTCGCCCGGACGATACTTTTCCGCCGACTGAACGTACAGTTTAGCTAGCTGTTTATCCTTCAATACATATATTAGTTTATATAATTTTTGCTCTATGCGATTAGTCTTTCAATTTCTTATGAGACTCATATTTGACAGTTAGATTTCTTATTTCACCTCTAGTTATTGAAATTTTAAGGTGTTTTAAGAGAGGCAAGGAGAGAGAGCAGTGTAACGTGTGTAGCAGTAAACTATAGACTATTTTTAGTTTGAGAGTTATTTATCGGTTGGTTCTGTATGTATGGTTGAGAGTTTACTGCCAGTTGAACTTCCATCAAGCATAAAACCGATCCGCATCCCATCGGATCTGTATTCCATTGGATCGACACTTGAACTGCTAAGCCCTATATCTGACCCCTTTGCTTTGTATCTGTCTAGTCCAAAGAAACTCCTAATAATATTATTGTACACCGAATTTTGAACGTTTAATAAAATCACAAAAGATGACTCTCTCATTGTCACGTGAGGGTATATTACACTCACTAGCTTATTCAAAACGGTTGTCAACATTCGATTTGGCATGTGGTTGTTCTCAAGTTGAAGTGTTTTAATGTGATCAAATCGTTCAGTAGAATATTTCATTCAAATATACTAATCAACAAAAGGTTTTGTCTTTTCAATTTAAATACAAAATTTCTCGAAATAAAAGATCCAATTAAAAATGATCAACAGATCGTAGAGAAATACAAATAGCTGGCTTCGCTTTTAAGCTTGTCTTCATGACGGTGGTTAGAAAAGCAATGCTACGTTTGACGAAATTACGATATCATCTAAAACCGGCGGACAAAACAAAAGTCAGTAAAACAACAACTGGACAAGCTAAGCAATTCCATTGACGTCCAGCTCTGACAACTAGAGGGGAAAGATCATATTCAGTCGAGGGGAATATTACAAATGCAGTCAGAAGCATGAACGAACAAGTACCCAATCCATACATACATATACGGTACAAAAATATTCTTGATAAACTTCACAAAATAACTTACTAAAAGAGCAAAACAACCAATGACATTTAAGGTGCTTCCGAGTGAGAAATATAAACTGAAGGTGAATGTGGTCATTTGGAGATTTTGGCATGAAAATGAGAAGTTCGAATTTCTATGTTGAAAATGCGATAGTGATACGTTTACGAAGTGATTTCTACGGATCCAGTATCCACATCAAACAAAGAAAACTCTACGGATAAATTATCCACCCTATAGAGAGCGATTTCACGTATGTGGAATGCGAATAGTGCTTGATTTCAACTGAGGCTTACAAATTGTAAGTTGAAATAAAGGATTAATAATGAAATAATTTCTTATTTGAACACCAAACAGTAGCTATTAGTATTTCTCTACTATCCGTCGGTCAATTGAAGTTGGATCTTTAATACTATCATTCACATATTAGATTTGGTCTACCGTTTTTTATCCACATCATCAAACATCCCATTATTTTATTTCTAAAATTGACATTGTAAGCGGAACTAATTCGAGATTTTATTTGCAGTTAAATCTTCATAAATTAATTCTATTTGTTCATATCTAGTGGTCCTTTAAAGTGACTTTCTTGAATTATTTCTCCTCTTATACAAGACTTGTTATTTGGATATGAATTAATATTTCAGGTACTGTACATTGTCCTATTCACTATCAAACCGCGCATCCATTTCTTCCTACAACAATATACAACTGAGCACGATAACCTCCACTTATGTAGCTGGATATTTTTCAAGCTTTTTTGATTTGTAGGATCTAGGTTTTTCGTTACGTTATCATATGAAATCTCCGTTCGAATACCTTAATATTATGTTTGATCATGTTTAATAATCCTGGTAGTAGATAGAGACGGGTGTTTTGCATTTTTCTCCTGCTTTCTTTCTTCTCTAATGGTTCAATAAATTTATCTACTCGATTTGCCATGAAATGTAGACTTAATTATGTCATAACATATTTGTGTTCATTATGAGCATTTAAAAACTATTCACATTGATCAATAGGATTGCATAATCCCATAAAATTGATTTCCGAATTTCATATTGGTGTTTTACTTGTTCATGAGCTAGCCATCCATTCGAAGTTATCCAATTTAGAAAACGGAATTTTCACAATAACCAATCATATCCATTTACTTCTACTGATGAAGTAACCACTTTATTCACTTTAAATAATAAACAAGTATGTTATATCTTGAAAGTTGATTTCTTGATATACCGCGTATAACCGAGCACTAGAACACCAAAACCCTTCCAAGTCGCAATAAGAAGGTTAATGAAAGGAATATTATTCCCAAAAGTGTCAATCATAGTACAAAATTGTCAGGTATTCATAGTTTTTAGTGAGAACGAAATCATCATAACAGTCCTCCAATCCGCATACAGAGGGTTATTAGCATTATCCAATCGGTAAGCTACACGTAGGAATTCTAGAATATTCTTCCGAAAGGTGATTGGATGGAACGTCTTCGGCTCCTTCTGAGCCTCTTACAACTTCCTCGAGTTCACCGGTGGTCCGTCGTCACAAAGTATTTGTTGTACCTATTGATCATACTGGTTACATTTATTTTCTTCAAATTTCTAAAAAAAATACTTGTATATTCATAGAGTATATAGTCATTTATTTATTTGTTTATTATTATCATACGATGCTTCACCTTATAAACAAGTGAGTCATATGATTATTTTTTTACCGTATATAAATATATTTTCCAATTCAATCAATAATTGGAAAGAATCCGTGTTTTCCATCGGTTTTTTTTCATTTATCATCGTCATCCACATTTTGTGTATGTCATTTACCTATATTTGCATTATTATTTTTACTATCTCATTTTCCTTCTTTTTTTCTTCCCTATTAATACATTATAATTATGATTTATTGTCTGTTTTAATTATATAAATTTTAATTAGTTGTGTTATATTGTAGTCTAAAATGATTGATTCTGTGTATTAATTATGATTCTAGTAAGTGTACTGTTTAATATGTTTAATATTGAAATACAATAGTCTGAAATTAACTATCTGTGTGAAGTTGTTGTTTTGTAGGAACAGTGGAATTTTATGGTCAATATATTTATAACTAAATAGATGTAGCTTTTTAGTAATATGTGTATGTAAATTATAGCCATTTAGTGAAAAGATCGAATCA